TATGGAGTGTTGCCGACTGTCGAGTGCGGAACTGCAGATTTGAAGAAGTGTGGCTGGCGACTACGGGCTTGGAGACTTAGAGTTATGGTTTAGGTATCTCAAATTGAGGGATTTTAGTGAACGGGTCGGGTATGGGTACATGTTAGAAATTATAGTGTTAAGTGATGCGGTCGGTTCGGACGGTTCGGGTTGAAAAGTTTTCAACCTGATCCGAACCGACCTACAAACAAAACCGACCTAAACCGCAAATTTTCGATCGATTCGGTCGGTTTTTTCAGTTTCGACCAAACCATGCACAGCCCTAGTGGCAATCTCCTCTTTTATGTGATCATCTATCTTTATCAAGAAGGGTCATGACATGCATACAGGCATTATACAGCTGTATTTGATTGTGATGATTGTGCTTCGGCTAATGAGGGTTTCAGTTTTTGTTTCATCTATATCTTCAGTAGCACTTACCATATCTTAATTCGAGGAACAATCCATATCTTAATTCGTGGAACAATCAACTCCAAGAGCGACAAGTACTAATAAGCTAGTCCTGTTATTTACGGTTTTGTGAATGTGACATTCCGAAATGCAAATGAAAGTTTCGACTTGGTGTACAAGTTCAAATGTCATGACAGTAAGCTTCTGAACTTGAATCTCTGATATTTCTTGCTAAAATGATTTTATGTACTTTTCAAATTCAAGTTATCTGAGGGGGGGGGGGGGGGGGGGGGGTGTTGGGGTGGGGTGGGCAGGAGAGGATAATATACGGCGTTCATTGTATCTGGCACTACGCATTTCTTCATCCTATAAATGGAAGGGGTGCGAGGAAATTATATAATGATTGTCATGACAATTTTGCAAAACAAAGAAAAATTGTATATGCTTTAGCTGCAATTATGGCACAGGTTCGAGGTAAATTTCTGCAACATGACCCAGAGAAAGAAATACAGCCCGAGAGAATTTTAAACTTAAATTTATGATGATCAACTTAAACTGTCACTCAAACGTTTTATGAACCAAAATTTCTGCTAGAAAAATATTATTCAATTTAACACAATGAAACCCCCACACTTTACCGGCATTTAAATGCTACGATGCGGTACAAGGAAAATAAATATTTAAGGTTCAAGTTTTGGAAGGAAAACTAATAACTAACCAACCATAAACTTTTTACATAAACCCACAAAAACTACTATAAAAATCTGCTAAACCACAAAGAATAAACCTTCAAATAAGGGAGTTGAATACAAACCAAATAACTCATTCAATTGAGCTATTATCAAATTGCCATGGATTGAACTCAATGGAAGTGATATCCTGTTCCACACTAGAAGTTGAGCTATCTGCAACTGCCCTGTGCTCAGCATATTTCCCATTGTATTCATAAACTTCGAGCTCAGCCCAAGGCGTGGTTACAATTTCTTCGGTCATATTGAACCATTTTGGCTTGAACGGCAAGCCTTTGGCCTCTCTGGTTCTTTTCTCTGCCCTCTGCATCTCCTCCAACCTGAAACCAACCGATAATGCAGTGTTCAACAGCTTTTCAGCATATTGGGTAAATTAAAAAGAAAACCTGAACTTTGAGTTATTTTGCACACAAAGCCCCTAATTCACTAAAATACCATTCTGACAACAGTTAGTTTATGTCGTCATGTGCTTTGTGCATGACATATTTTGGACAATTTTGTCGCTATATGCTTATTTTCTAAATTACCCTCTTTTTTGTATTACAGTAGCTACATAGGAATAAAATTAGATTAGACATTTACCCTTCTCAAGACAGTGACGAGGTAGTTTGGACCTTTTACCCTTCACGTTAACGCCATTTATGACAACTTCCAATAATTCAAGGGATTTTGTATAGTTTTGAAATCATAGGAGTTTATTTCTTCTTCTAATATATAAAGTTTAAAGGGTTTTGTGCAAAACACTCCCAAAAAATGTCTGGGGTTTGTGGAATTTACCCTGCATTTTATATGATATTGGTGACTAAATTTTGTATAGACAAAAAGTTAAAATCACGAACTTATTCAATATCCACGAAGGTTGATTCCCGCAAATGCAGAACCTCAGAAGCTCAAGGAACCCACCCCCGTCCACCATATTTGGGTACGTAGCCGTACCCAAAACGGGTTGGACACGGGTACATCCCCCAAATTGCCATGTAGGGATAACCTTGCGCAGAACAATGTGAATGTGGAAGTTAAACTAACCTGCTCTTTTCAGAAGCAGACTTGGACATGTCACCTTTCTCTAGTGCATATCTATCAGGCCGCATTCTAGAATCTGATGGTAGGAGCTTCTTGGGAGCTGTGTCAAAGCTGTTGATTTTATGTGCAAAATGGGTATATTGAAACTTGTCATTCTCTGGTGCAGCAGCAACTCTCCAGACCTAAAAAATATTTTCGAGAATGGAAAGGAAAGTCCACCATCAGTATGAGCAAATGTAACTGCTAGTATTGAAAATAATAATAATAAAGCAGTTAATGCTATCTTACAGTTATTATATAAGTAACTCCATATCCTAGGTTTTGGAGCAGAGAAGTCATATAGAAGTTCATGATACTACAATAGTATTAGTTTGAGCTTGAGCACACAAAATTTGAAAAAAGCAAAGTTTTTGGACCTGTCCTATTAGTAAAAGAAAAGTTTTGAGGGTAGCAGACGGCCGAAGCTTATTCCAAAAAAGAACCATGAAGCTCAACAAAGAACATCAATGTGTGATCTGAAACTGCTTTTCAATCTTTAGAGTACTTTTAATTTAGATTGGTTTGTATAGTATGGATTTTTTTTAACTAAAGCGTAAAATATCAACTATCGAAGAAAGAAACATGTATTCTACGAGAAAATTAAGGCATAAGCATATAGATTGCAATAATTCTTCAATCTGTGTATACGCTAAAAAGGGATCTAAAAGAGTCTGCGATCAGCATAGAAGTCCGTAGGCAGCTTTCTTTCGATATGCAATTTTTTATTGGCATGTGCAAGCAGGTACATCAAGAGAAATCTGAATTGTGAGAGTTTGGATATTGTATGAATTAAAAAAAGGGGAAAATAACCATTTAGGATAAATCAAGAGACTATTGGGAATAATCTTCAGAAAAAAGAAAAAATGCTAATGATGCATTGTTTTTTTAACCGTCCTAAAATTAGTAGGATTGGCTACAGCTTGCTGTTCCATGTCAATCTAATTGAAGAGTAGGTGTATCTATGTACGCCTTGTTTCCATGCACCCTAATTTCAAATGCTGTATTCTATACTTTGGATGTGTCTATTACTGGACATAAAATTTAAGCCATTTAACTTGGAACGCGATCTTGCATATTTTTAGTATCTCATTTTAAATTAAGGGGGAAAAGTTTAGCGGAATCTGCCAACAAGCATGCCTGTGGAACCAGATTTCCCAGTTAATTCCTCCCTCATTTGTTTAGTTATTTCTAATTTATATAATTCAATTGATATATCATTTAGTAATTGTATACGTTGATACATAATCAGTTTGCAAGCGGATGGGAGCTTGAGTCCATGGATGTGTCATCAACATGGTTGAGATAAGCGAGCTACTGTGGTTTGTCTAACAAACTAGAAAACTGAGCTAATGGAGAATATATAACAGAATATGGCAGGTTTCACAAAAACATGTCACACCGAAGTCCACTTTCTTGTGCTTGCAAATAACACAAAAGTTGCTACTGTAGGATGACATGACTGATAAGCATAATATCTGTAGCTAGAAAGAATAAGACGAGACATACACGCTAAAACTACTGTAAATGATTCAGCTAAAATAGTACTTCATGTGCCTGGATGGTGAACTGCATTTGACTGATGCAAATTATTAAGTTTGGTCAAAGATGTATAGACGGACATTTACCAAATTCAATACTATCAGCATTTTCACATGTTTGCCTATATGATATAACATTGATGCCCTGCTAGCATCTTAAAATCTCTTCTACCACATTGAAGTTCTGAAGTCGTGGTGAGGATGAAGGGTTATGATTTTGAACTAATATACTTGGAGATTTTTGCTTCGTTTGCATGAGCTAAAATATATAACCAGGGAAGATAGACCAATCTACTTGCCAACTTGTGTCCTTGATAAATGATTAGGAATTTGGCATTGCTTCAAAAGAGGACAACAGGATGACAGCTGATTATGTACATGGTGAATTCTTTTGTACATAAGCACTGTTCACTAAATGCATAAATAGGAATGTCTTGGGAATGGTTATTACCTCTTTTAATTCAGTGCCAGGAAGAGGCTCTCCTTCCATGTCGCAAGGTTGGTAACTCATTGACTCATTCCATTTTCCTGTCATCAGCATTTTTGGTTCTTCTTCTGAATTATACACATAACCATCCACTTCATATCGTCCAGCCCTGCCAACATTAACAGTTTCTGGTAATTCATGATGGCCAACACGCAGAGCACAAAGATCACAATGTAAGGCGTCACAACTACAAAGAGCGAAAAAATTTCTAGGCTAATGCACCCATTATTATATAAGTGCAAGTAGAATTGGGTGTAAACTTCTAATATGTATATATACCCCTAACTACAGTTTATGCCAATGCATAGAAATAGTGAAAAACACACTTCATCTAATTAACGCTGCTCGAAGTATCAGATATTACAATGGAGGTATAACCAGAAGCTGAGCACACATTAGGAAAGGTATGCAAGAGGTCCATGTACATGAATCGGAGGAGATGTGCAACAAAAAGAAAATTGGCCATACCCAAACCAGCCACATGGTTGAAAGTATAGTACAACTTTGTCACCAGTTGTTAAGTTTGTCATGACCATCTCACCGGGTGAATCGATCCAGGTGCGCCCAAATATAAGGTTATTTACCTTTGTCGGAGGTGGCACCAAACCCACTACAACACCAGACTTTTTAAGTGTCACCCTTGTCCTGTTCAAACACCAAACATGGTAGTATAAGTAACAACTACTACTGAATTACTGCAACCAAATTTTAAGCATCTGCATGTAGCCTAGATTTAAGAGAATGCAACCATCTTCAAAATCTGGTGTTTGATTTTAACACACAATCTGGTGATTGACCTTGCGCGCAGGTGTGCATGCACACAGAGAGAGAACTACTGAATCTAACTTTGACATAAGGACTAAATAACAAGATGACAAGTTAAAAATAGAGAAGATAATTTGATCTTACCTTCCAACAGGATAGACTTCTACAGAGTTCCCTAAAAACTTTGTCTTCACTTTGGAAGTGATGTCGTAAGTAAAATGTTCATTCTCAGCATGTGCTGCAGCTATAGGAGGATGATGGCTCACCTGATAAGAAAAGAATCCGATTAATTTTTTTCAATTGAAGGAAGTGCCAAGAGAACTAAGTGTTCTGAATCAATGTGCTAGTATATCCATAAGCATTGTTCAACTATAGCTCAGTGCAGCATGGATTTAAATTCGCTATAGGGTGCCTAAACATGATATTCATGACTATAGCAGTGCAAAAATAGTGCAGCGAGTTCCGAGCAGTTCACCTGTTCAGCAATAAAAGTAATTCCATTATGATTAGCAAACTCATAAGTCTCTCCAAGGATGGAATTGAAAGGCTTCCATGTTCTCTGATAGGCATAGTAAACTGATATCGCCCATGAAGCTGCAAACAACAATCGGACAGTTACACTGAATATACTGTATTATTGACAAATTAACAGCGAGAGAAATATTTACTCAATCTACTTACAAGTATAGACCAATCTCATATAAGGGTCTTCACATTCATCTGCCAGATTTAGCAGGTGAGAATACTCCATCAACTATTGGAAAGAAAAGAAAAATTAGAAGCCTGAACATATGAATACTCCATCAACTATTGGAAAGAAAAGAAAAATTAGAAGCCTGAACATATGAACAGATGATAAACAACAGTATCTAATTTTAAGAAGCATTAAGAAGTAATTTGTCCAAATTAAGAATGACCAACATAGAAATATGAGATATCTTCTGTAATACAATGTAAATGAGAAAGTTCAGCTAAAGCAACATGCATAAACAATCACTATGCTGTGTTAATAACCCTTGTTTGTAACTGAGGCATTAACCTTTCCACATAATTGAAACAAGCCAGTAAGATACTTAAATCCTGTCAGGAATCTGTTTCCAATAGAAATTAAGAAAGATGGGTAGACAAGTGGCTCCAATCAGCCTGTAAAAATCTAAACTAAAATACTTCTCAGTTTGTAGAAACATACCTCCGCCATTTTTTGCAGCATCGTCATGGGCTCAAAAATTATAACCGGAAGTGTCACCATGGATGTCACATCCGATCCAATATATTTTTGCATCATCTTCCAATGGCTATCCCGATCCTAAAAAGAAAGGAAAAGGGACAGGACAAACGCCGAATCATTATAAAAGTTCACATCACAGACCAATACAGATACTGAATGATGAACCGGGAAACAAATTAAAACACCTTCCAATTCTATACATATTTATACTTTATAGTGATGTCGAAAACTATGCTATGACTAGTTAGCTACGATACTTCCCGTCCATATGCATAAAACTGATGGAAATTGTAAATAAACAGAAAACAGACATGAAAGTCATAAACTTTAAAAAAATTAAGAGAATGTCTACGAACAACTGAAACGTATATATATTAACAAAACCAAAGACAGAATCTTGGATTAGTTTTCCTGGAAACTGCTTTTAGCTGATCTTAGAATTGGACCTCTTTCTTTGGAGCGGACCTCGCCTAAGACCCACAGGCCCCCGAAGGGAATAAAGAGAGTGAGATGAGAGCCAGTACGGTAAGAAAGACAGAAATGAGCGAGAGATGAGACAAGTGAGCTGAGGGGTCAACCCCCCGAACCAACAGACAGGGCCCTTGGAAATGAAGCAAGGGGAAGGGCGGTAGCGCAACTCATAGAGAGCATAGAAAAGACTCTCTCATCCACTTTGACCGGTGCTCTTCGTGACTCAGATTTAACTTTACTTGGTAAATGGACTTGGAATGCCAAAAAACAAGAATAAGTTGAACTGGAGCTTTCAGACAGTAATGTACCTATAGAGACCTCAGTATATTGAAGGGTATCCAGAAGGATATATTAGGTAATTGATAGAATATTTGTTTGTTAGTGAAGATATTCCACTTTATTTAGTTTGTCCCTTGATCATCATGCTTCAGTTAGGCTAAAATATAAATGGACAGGTAGAGAAAGAACTGGACATTTCGCATAAAAGTACTATGGATATTCCCAATTTCAGACATTGCATTGATTTCAATCCATACATACTAATATATGGAATTCTTCTAATTTGATCCATTTAGTATAATTCTACAACAACAGCAGTTTCAGGGAAATTTTTTGTTCAAACTCTGAAATAGAGGATGAAAGGTTATTAACAGCACCTCTTGCTTCCATCTTCCTTTTGCTGCTTCAGCCTCAGCATCATCTGTGCCTCCTTCTGGATTTATCACTTCAAGTCCTTCATAACCCAATAATCTAGAATACAAAGATATTACGTCACCACGGTTAAACGTGTAAAAATTAAGAAGCAATCCAACTTTTCATGATTTTAGAAAGACAACATTTGCACTGCAAAGGAAATAATCAAAGCAGGAATTGACTGCATATGTAACATGATATGTACCTTACAACAGAAAGTGATGAACATATACACCTCAATTGTTAGCAGGATAAAAGAAGGGTCAGCATCGTGTCAATCAAATGTATATAAACACCCTAATTGAAAACCTAATCGGCCACTCGAACTTCAACAAAAAGTTTGGACAAGTAAAATGAAACAAAGGTTCCCCAAAAACAACTAATAGTACCAATCTCAGAAATAAGACAACAATTGAACAAAGAATTGATAAGCACATCATAAAACCCATTGAGATATGCTTCCATCTAGTTTTTTTTTTTTTTTTTTGCCTGCTTTGTACCTCCTACTCTATCATCTTCTTCATCCAAACTCTTCATACAATCAGGGCAGTTCACGTGCTTAGGTTCGGCTTCAAATTTCAAATTCTCAAAAGTCCCAACTTCAAATTCGTACTTGAAAGATGAAATTATCAAACAACCCTAAAATCACAAAATAACCACATATTTCCACAATTATAACAGCTAACTGAGGCAAAATTTTACAGAAAACCACGTCAAATTTCACCAGAAACCAATTGATTCCATGATCGAATATGACAATTATGAAGCATTCAACTATTAAAGAACCCAAAAATTCACAAAGAATACAACAGATGAATTTTGACATGCTTAGGTTTGGCTTCAAATTTCAAATTCTCAAAATTCCCAGCTTCAAATTCGTACTTGAAAGATGAAATTATCAAACAACCCTAAAACCACAAAACAACCACATACTTCCACAATTATAACAGCTAACCGAGGCAAAATTTTGCAGAAAACCACGTCAAAATTCGCCAGAAACCGATTTTGATTCCATGATCGAATATGACAATTATGAAGCATTCAACTATTAAAGAACCCAAAAATTCACAAAGAATACAACAGATGAATTTTGACGTGCTTAGGTTCGGCTTCAAATTTCAAATTCTCAAAATTCCCAACATCAAATTCGTACTTGAAAGATGAAATTATCAAACAACCCTAAAACCACAAAACAACCACATACTTCCACAATTATAACAGCTAACCGAGGCAAAATTTTGCAGAAAACCACGTCAAAATTCACCAGAAACCGATTTTGATTCCATGATCGAATATGACAATTATGAAGCATTCAACTATTAAAGAACCCAAAAATTCACAAAGAATACAACAGATCCCACAGCTCCAATAGCCAATCGACGTCAAAATTATCAAATTCAACAGAATTCGATCGATTTCATACCCATTGACCGATTTATGAACCGCGCTCCCCCAGCTGCGGATCGCCGAGAAGAACCCGCCGGACTCTGCTTTCTCATCCTTCGATCCCATCACGAAACCCTAATTCGATCCGATCTCGCGATGTGAAGACCCCCAGAGAGAGGAAAAATTTCGCGAGAAGGGGGGGGGGGCGCGAAGGTGTCAAAATTTAATAGTGGGAGGGGGCTGCGAGAAATTTTGGCGCTTGCTTCGCTTTGGTTCGGGAGGCCGGCCTGTTATCGTGGAAGAAGGGGCGGAATTCGAAGGCGCGGGGGTGGAACAGGAAATGACGGCCTTGCCCCTGCGACCGTCATGTGAGGAGGACCTCGGTGCGCACGTTAGAATGTTCTTCTGTGGGTTCCTTCTTCCTTGACAATATTTGTTGAAATGTGACATTTATCACTGTATATATGTACCCTTATATGAATAAAATCATAAATACGAGTGAGAAATACTATACTAATATGGGTCGATAAGTAAAGCCTCATAGAGTCATAGCCTGTAGCCATCAAAGTCTAATATGAGCATTAATCAGATAAGAATAATATATACATAGACTATGTAATATGTTATATGACATAGCTTAATCGTAATTATTACTATAACGCCCCGTTTGGTACGCGGGAATAGACTCAAATGAGAATGGAATGGAACAATAAATGGAATGGAATAGTCATTTTCATTCTCACATTTTGGTATAATTTATAAATAAAGTGGGAATAGACGTATTTTAAAATTATATATTTTATTGATTCTCATTTAAGTGGGAATGCTCATTCCGGCATTCTCTATTATTTTATTGAAAATACTCATTCTCACATAAAGTGACAATTGATGAGAAGTAAAAATGAGCATTACAACTTCAAAAAAGAGGGTGTATTTGATAGGAAGGATTGAGAAGTGAGAATGACATATTACCTAGCCCATATATATTATCCCGGATTATCAAAATGCTCTTCCTCCATTAACATAACATCTAAATAATCTCAGGTATCGATCTAGACCTTACATTCATTAAAAAAATTTAAATATAAATACAATAATAATGTTTTGGGTTATAAATTTGCTTCTAAGCGCAGTTGGCCAACTTGTGTTCCTATAATGCAAAGCATTTGGAAGCACGTGCTAGCCTTGTCATTTGCCGCTGGCGGTTGCACGTCCTTCGAACCCATTGATTGAATATTTAAATGTGAGTACTGTTTTTTTTTGATACAGTAAACGGGGGTCCAACTATTCACACTCCTAAATAGTAACTTTGGAGGTATGTGAGGACTAAATTGCTCTTCTCTCAAATCAAACCAGGCCAAGTCCAAAAGGGCATTTTTGGTAATTCAACTCCCAAAGTTACTGTTTGGGAGTGGATATAGCAAACATGAGTAAACGGTTGGTCCTTGAGTTTGCTTCCAGCTAAGTTAGCTGTTAGCATAACCATCTATTATTTATAATATAATAACATGTGTATTAAGGTTTGGATGAATGTTTCAAAGAGTTTAATTAATTAACTATAACCATTAGCTTAATCATAAAACACCAAGATAAGTGAACCCTTAATAGGAACTACAACGGCAATTGCAGTGCAGCATGTGAGCATAACTAACTTGCATGTCTGTTTATGATTATTTTATGCGTCGATCTCGATCTCTGGTTGCTTACGGAAGTTGGTGATGATGAATGATACTGCCTCGGTGTATAAAGTCGGTCTCGTTTGGGCTGAGCCCAATTAACGTGTAAGACCACGATCATCTAATCCTATATCTGGGCCTGACCCACTGGGCCTGACCCACTGGGCTAAAATTTTCGAACTACTACTACACCATCACACACAAAAACACTGGGCCCCCGTGCCTAAATTATCATCAAAATTGACAAGTTATCAAAGAACGCGTGAACCCTCTAGACGTTACAGGTGGATTATGATTCATATTTGTTCCCCAAAAAAGAAAAACTTTTTGGAGGTAACCATCCTTGTCTGCTGATTATTCAGTGATCATCGCCTAATTTCACTTTTGACCTTTATTTTCTCCACGTGCCTAATATTTAGCCCTCTCGCGATGTCAGGGCCTGCTGGGTGAAGATAATAACCCCTCTAAAATACCATATTTTGACCGCCGTTTGACCAACTTTCGATTCGTTTCATAACCGGTTCATGTTACGAGTTTCAATTATAAAATAGATTAACCCTCTAATCTTCAGTGGGCCCCCGAAAAAAATCGATGAGGCTTGGGTCCCACGGGGTGGGTGATGCGGGTGATCCAGGTCTAGTTTGACCCGCATCGGGAGATTCTGGATGCTCGGGAAAATCCAAATCAGATGGGTTATTCGCAACTCCAAACACGATAAAGAAGTCCCAAGAAAATTATTTATTGTTTGACTATTTTTTGTATAGTTTTCAAAATTGATGTTATTTTCAAAAATTATTTATTATTACAAATAAGGTCCCCTTTGGTTGCAAAAGAGAAAGGCTGAAAACCTGACAAAAGCTAGGCTTTAAGCCAAAATCGCCTCTTATAGTGGCGATTTTGGCTTAAAGCCTGACAAAAACTCAGGCTTTCAGCCTTGTTATTATGCGACCAAACAGGACCTAAGAAGAAGTAACTGAAGATTTTGAAATACTATATCTCAATTTGCATCCGTATCAACACACTTTTTATGGGCGTCTTATATTGATTTGGAATTTTTTTTTATAAAGAAAAAATGTTAATTTGGGAGTTATTCCTGTATTTGCTGCCCGCACCGGATCCACTGACCCATCACGTGCGCTTAATGCCTGGGTAGTGTGCGTGTTTGTGTGTAAAAGAGCAACTTATTAAAAGATACGTAAATTAACTTAAAACAAAAAGTCCACTCATTGATATAATGTCTTTAAAAGAACCCTGGATTGGGACGTACGTGATTAGATCATCATCAAAGAATCTCTAAATCCCATGGACGCTAATCTCTTTCTTAATTCTTCCCTCCTCTGCAAGTAATGGAGATAACATTTTCTCTCTCTAGTCAATATTTTTACTCGCAGCAAAGATTAATCAGAGTGAATGTGAGAGGTTAAGACCACAAGAAGCTTGAAGACCAAGAAATAATGAAGATAGATACAACAGTTTTTTAGTTACACGTAGCAACCTGTTGTTATCATATAATTTATTATGGTTGTATTTGGAGACCACGCTAACAATTTTGCAACTATATATTTTTTAATGGTGTTCTACTCTAGTTCGAATGGTGTCCTAAGCAGTAAATACAAGTACAAATAATAAAAATATGTATAAAGTAGGAAATCCAGTAGTATCATACGATGCGACTAGACACTAGTGGCTTTGCCACTGGTCGGCGGTCATGGTTGCCAAAGCCGCTCAAGGTCGGGCTTGAGTTGGGTGTTAACTTAATTACATTATTTGCAAGTGAATCAAATCCATAAAATGACTAAATTAAGGATAATGATTGAAGAACATTTTCTTTAGTGTCCAAATGTACACATCCATAGTTACTGATTTTTTCAATTAAATTTTAAGGAATGTATATTTATTGTTTAGCAATGAGTAAAGTCAGAGGTACTCAAGGAAGCATGTTTTCTTAAGTGGTCAAAGTGGCTAATAAGATCATGTGCATGTTTGGGAAGACTTATTTTTTAAAGCTTATAAGTTATGCTGACTTTTAGTGGTTTTTAGATTTTTTGATAAAAACACTATAAAAATTGTTCGAGTAGAACATTAATTTGTTTAGTAAAACTTAACTTTTTTAAGTGAGCTTATAAGCTACTTTTTCTAAATGCTGGGGTATATCAGCTTTTTAAAATGAAACTTATAAGCAATCTTAATTTGTCTTTTTACCAAACAGGTAGAAATAAAAAGCTAGCTTAAACTAAAAAATAAGCCTCCCCAAACACCCTCTAAATCACTTTTGCGGCTTACAAGTCACCTTTATTTGGCTAATGGTTTAATTTAGCTTATAAGCCACCAAAAAAATAAGCCAATGTATCTTAGCTTATTTTTTTAGTAACTTATAACTCATGAAGTTTGACCAAGTGAAAGGCAACATATACCCCTCTTCATTTTATAAATATCCAAGTAACATTTATCTCCCTCCAATCTTATTATACTTTTTGATCATTCTGACAACAATAATGACATATAAGTCATTCAATTGTTAAATACTTTCCCATTAAAAATAACTTATAATCCGTTAAATTTATGAAATAGATTACAAACCAATTGAATTATAATCCAAAGTTGCAAATCGTGGGCAAATGTGGACTTAGTAATGGAGCTAATCAATGGAGCTCGTTCAGAAAACCTTCATCAAATAAAAATTCCTTTTATTCTCTTAACCTACTATGTATTTCCTCCATGGCTCCGATTCCTTATTAGCAAGGGTTATTCTGGTACAAACCGCCGCATATCTTCTAATATTTTGATATTACCCCCTACATTTTCA